TCTCTCATTTATTGTACAGAACAAAACAATGCAAATGATGTATGAGACCATTTACAAGGCTTTAGTGGAGGTTGGGCTTCAGAATGAATACACCCCACAAGACTATTTGAACTTATGTTCACATTTGGAAAGCACTGGTGTGCATTGTTTGTTGTTTGGTCTTAAATTACAGATGATTGGTTGGTGTGCATTGTTTGTTGTTTTGTTTTAATTAAATTATTTTAGAATTGCAGAGCACTGCCGTGAATTGTTTGGTATCCAATTTTAATTTTTTAGAATTGTAGAATATTAGCTGGTGTGCATTGTTTGGTTAATTTTATTTTATTATAATTGCAAAACATTAGGCACGGGCATTGTTTGGTTAATTTTGCAATTATAATAAAATAAAATTATTATAATGGTCTCATAAGCAAGGGTCCCTCACCCATATTAAGGCTAAGTTTGGCATCTTTTGAAAAAGTCAAAATGTCACTATCCTATTTAAGTCACGTCATCTTATTTAAGTCACATCACCTCTCTACCACATCATTTCAAACTCAACTCATATTTCATAAAAAGTCAAAAAGTGCACTTATTTAGAGCATTCCAAACAACCCCTAACACACAAACAATCCAATCATAACAAACACCCTATTGCAACTACCCCAAGTGCTAATGGTCCCCAATGGATTTCTCAACACCCTATTGCAACTACCCCAAGTGCTAATGGTCTCCAATGGATTTCTCAAAATAACATATCTACATACATTATCACAATTAACACCACATAACACCACATAATAAGGACCACTACTTGAGCCACCAGTAAAAGTCCTCTTTATTGAGGCCGAAAGAACCATAACACAATCGTCTGAATAATTGTTTGGCAATTACAATTCTGTAAGGACTGATTGATCCTTGCTGGCACGCTCATAATTACGAAAGTAACCTTCGAAAGCCAAAAAAGCCAACACTATTTAAGTCACGTCATCTTATTTAAGTCACATCACCTCTCTACCACATCACTTCAAACTCAACCCATATTTCATAAAAAGTCAAAAAGTGCACTTATTTAGAGCATTCCAAACAACCCCTAACACACAAACAATCCAATCATAACAAACACCCTATTGCAACTACCCCAAGTGCTAATGGTCCCCAATGGATTTCTCAAAATAACATATCTACATACATTATCACAATTAACACCACATAACACCACATAATAAGGACCACTACTTGGCCCTACCCTCAGTATAATTCGATCGCCACCATGCTATTACAATAACGTACAATCTAGCATTACAAAGTAACGTGTAATGTACAATCTAATATTGCAAAAACGCATAATTGCATCGAAACAGGCTTCGGAATATAATGTCACATATACATTTTGGCCATTCTGTAACCAAAAAAAATAAAAAATCAGTACAATACATACTTGTCACTGTGGGTGCCGGCAATAAACACCGGCACTGACAATGACAATGTTTAGCTGTGGTCTTCACTGTCAACCAGTGGACAAAAATGGCGAAATGACCCAACGTTACAACACAGCTGTAATGTATTGCCAGAAGGGGATTTCAGCAATCTGGGGTTTTTTTTTTTTTGGGAGGGGAATGGAATGTTAATTTGGAAAGAACATTAACATTACCAAATTAAACAATATTCAAAGAAATTGAATGTCTATCATTGTTGCAACATCGAAATCAAAATTGAGTACTTTCCATTTTCACTGTTTTCGTTTTGATCACGCGGGATGGAAAGCAAAAAACTATGCTTTTGGCCATTTAGGTAAGTTTAACATCACGTAAAACCCATATTTACCCTCACAATTTTCTACTCACGCGCTAAAATCATGGACTCAAAGGTTTTTAACATTAAAATGGGACTGATCGGTCCGTAAAAAAAAAGACAAGACTAAATGGTTTGACATTCCTTAATTTGAGATTTAATAGTGTTTTACCCTAGTCTTTTTACGTTAAAATTTTTAACAATAAGTGATATATGGATTACATTGCAACAAATTAAAATATATAGTTCAAATTATTTAAATTAAAACCATAAGAATTGAAGAAAAAATTTACTCAAATTAAAAGGATTAATTGTGTAATTTATATTTCTTTTTTTATTATTTATTTAAATTTAGAATAATGCTTGGGACCCCATTTTGGGGGTCACCCCCTCACCCCCCTTTGCCACGTGGCGGGTGGTGATTGGAGGAGCAGGAAAAAAAAGAAAAAGAAAAAGAAAATGTAACCAATGAGAGAGAGAGGGGGTCAAAGGGGGTGGGGGGAAAAGGGGGGAATAAGAATTGAAGAAAAATTTTACTCAAATTAAAAGGATTAATTGTGTAATTTATATTTCTTTTTTTATTATTTTTTTAAATTTAAACCTTGTAGTAATATACTGTGACGGACAGGAAATGAAGAAGTATTTACCTAGGTTGTACATGTAAAGTCCAATAAAAAAAACTCGAACATGTTAATTTATAGGGATACACTTTTTTTAAAAAAGAAGGATATATTGTATATATTTTTAATTATGTCATTTCTTTCTTTAGTTATTGTACGGGAAAGAAATAAATCTTCTCGTATAATCCTGTTGATCAAGTCTGCGCTCCTCCGTGTGCCGTCGCTTTATCACCTGAAAACACAAACGTGAGCTAACCGGCGGGTGTGTGCCGGAAACCTCTCCGATGCCTAAGTCAATAAGCTTGACAAATAGACAAAAGCTCTATGTATTCAGAAAGCAAAGTTGTGTGTTACCTCTCCAAAGGTGATGTTTGTGAGCTTTTATAAGTTTCGTCTGGCATAATCCTAGTAGGACTTCTACTCCTCCATGCAGAGTCCTCCTAGGATTCATACTCCTGAAAGATAATGCTTATCCTTCAACACCCCCCTTACTGCTTAAACCAAGTGAGATGATTTTTACCATAGCCGAACTCCAACATGACCGAAGTAATCATGGCTATGTTGAGCCGCAGAGTAAGCCAAACTATCCTTAGTTTGGTTCTTCCTTTCGCTACACCTTATCTCGGTTCTCTCATGTACGAACCATGGTGTGTTTAGACCGAACTACCGAGTAGCAAGGTTCTGACCGTTCTAACCACAATACGCCATGACCGGACTAACTCTGAGACCGGCCTAACTCCAAATCGCTTCCGGACCGGAGTAACATTACATTTATCTCGGCCGGAGTAATTTTGTACTTCTCTTGGGCCGGAGTAACTTTACGGCCTTTTTACTCAGCCCTTCGTATTGTGGGCCATAATGACCATATCCCAGCTCGGCCCAATTTTTACAAAAATTACCCTCTCAGTTATAACATTATTTTAATTATAATTCACGAGTTCTATAGTTATGCCGACCGGCCTAACTCCAAATCGCTTCTGGACCGGAGTAACATTACATTTATCTCGGGCAGAGTAATTTTGTACCTCTCTTGGGCCGGAGTAACTTTACGGCTTTTTTACTCAGCCCCTCGTATTGTGGGCCATAATGACCATATCCCAGCTTGGCCCAATTTTTACAAAAATTACCCTCTCAGTTATAACATTATTTTAATTATAATTCACGAGTTCTATAGTTATGCCTTATTTTGTGTTTAGTATAATATTTTTTTTCTTTTTTTAGTTATACGTTAGAAAATTATAATTATGCCATTTTTTTTTAATTATAAAGTGCAAAAAGTTGTGTATTATATGCCTCCGTTTGGGAAGTGAGTTGACTTTTTGACTTTTTGACTTTTTTTGGCTATTTTAATCTGGGCTAAAAAGTTTGGTTTGAGAAGAATTTTTTAGTTTTTTGACTTTTTTTGTGAGAGAAGAGTGTAATGATTATGGGTTGGATGTGATATTTTGTTTGTTGGGGCTAAAATAGTCTATTTTATCTTTTATGGCTATTTTAACCCCAATATTACTTGCCAAACACAATATTTTTCTAATTTATAGTGCTATTCAAACCCACATATTAAACCTATTTTTAATAACATAAGTAAGACAAAATTAATAAATAAGAGAAAAAATTATTTTCCCTATACAAGTAAGATAGATCTTCAGCCAGTAAATTTTTTGTTAAATGATCCGTAGCTCGAATGTGTAGGGCTCGAGTGGCTCGAATGGTACGAAAAATATTATCTTACCTGTAAGAGATTAAAAAAAAACCCTAAAACGACGTCATTTTGGGATTTCAAACCATTCGAACCTTTGATATTTCGAGCTACGTAACGGAGCTAAATTTTTTTTTTGATTATCTGTGTGTATGTAAAGTTAGGCGTCATAATGTTAAACCGACGCATTATTTAGCTCTTTCTGTAAACAACTTTTATGCCTAACATGGTCTCGTTTGGCAAACGATTTTTTTAGTTAAAAAGTCAAAAAATCATTTAAAAAAATCAAAAATCAATAACTCATACTAAAAAGTTAAAGGTTCTTTTCTCTCTACTTTTTGCACATCTTTTAGTAAAAAGTCAAAAAGTCATTCCAAATATACTAGTTTTTTTTATATCACATTTTAACTAAAAAATCAAAAAATTATTAAAAAACCTATTCCCAAACGAGGCCTCTAAAAAAAATAAAATAATAATAATAAAAATGAATGAATATGTACATATAATTTTTTTAAACAACAATGCATATATATGTCTCACATATATAAACAAATTAGTCATTAAATGAACTTTTTATGATACACACATATATAACAAATTAGTCATTAAATGAACTTTTTATCATACACATATATAAACAAATTAAAGTTATTAAATGCACCTTTTATCATAAAGTTGGCACATATAATTCACATTTTATTTTTTTTAATAACAATATGTTAAGAGACTATTGAGATTGAAACAAATCAAAACTTCAAATAATAAAATGTAAAATTTTTAAAATCTTAATAACAAAGGGTTCTAAGAATTAAAAAAAACAAAAACACAAAAAATTATACTTGATTCAATACATTTTTTTACTATTTTTATTTATTTTCAATATATATATATATATATTCGAACATGAACAATGCTGTTAACATTGAAGCATTTGCCATGCTTTTAATGGAGTAGGGTAAAGTCACATTGAACACTACTCCTACTCTCTCTCTCTCTCTCCACCGCTTGGAGGAATCGGACTGAGTTCGCCGGAAGTCTCAGAACCTTTTCTGGCGAAGATTTGCCGGCGATGTGTAAGCTTCGGTTACTGGTGTGCCTTATACTTCTTTGCTCGGCAGCTTTGCCTGCTGCTCGAGGATCTACCAACACAACCAGAACCAGTTTGTGGAAGACCTTAAATGGTATCTCTCTCTCTCTCTCTCTCTCTTCCTTTTGTTGATTTCGGATTTTGGTGCTTGTTTGCGCTCTGTTTGGTTGCTGAGAAACTGAAGGGGGAAGGAAAGGGAAAAAGAGAGAGAGAGAGGGTAAATTATACTTTGATTTCCTGGAATTTACACTGAATCAAAGTTTGGTTCCTCATTTTTCAATTGTTACATTCAATCGCTTCGTCTTTTAGTGAAGTTTAAATGTAGTCGTTCTGTTCTGTTAGTCTGGTATTAAATTTGTTAACAGAAATTAGGATAAATTCATTTTTAGTGTCTCATTGTTGTGTAACAACAATCAACAGTTTTAGTGAATTATGTGTGGATTGAAATATGTCAATGAGCTGTGTGCCATAACAAGCTACTGCCATGGGTGGCCATTGAAGAGGACGGCTCCTCTCTCCGGTTTGTAAATTCAATTATCCAAGCCGTTCACATTTTAAGGTTTGTCCAGCAAATTTTATGCAAAAAATTTAGTTGATCGTAAGTTTTGCGTGCAGAAAATGGATGATGAGTATGATTTTAAGTATGGGTTTGGATTAATGGCCAACTTGAGAGAGCAGTTGGGCTTAGTGGGCCCGTTTTGGGGCCGACCTCAGTAATTCGAACCGTTCACTTTTTATGACACATTGAATAAAATATTTAGGTGAAAAATCATGATGATATCAGGCATTGATAACTATATATTTGAATCACATTTGTCTTTAAAAAATGAATGTCAAAATAATTTCAAGCATAGCTATCTATTTTTTATGATACAAATGTGATTCAAATATATAGCTATTGATATTCAATTATTTTAATTTTTTGCATAAATATTCTATTCAACGAATCTTAAAAGGTAAACGGTTCGTAATACCAAAGTCGGCCTCAAAATGGGTCTACCAAATCTAAATTGTTTTCTCAAGTTGGATGGCCAACTTGAGAGAATCCAAACCTTTAAGTATATAACCATTCATTTTTTTAATACAAAACTAATCTAAACATGTGGTTACCATTATCTGATCAACTTAATTTTTTGCATGAATGTTAGGTCAAAAACATATGTACACCAGCTTGGCTTTGAAAATGTGATGGGACCATCTTAATGTGTTGCTAGTGCCCCAAAATACGTCTTAACTAAAATTAAATGTTTGTTGGACGATTTGTCGCACTGCTTCATTTAATTCCACTTGAACAACATTTTCATTAATTAGTTTTGTCATCACAGTTTCCATTTTTATTAAATTATGAATGATAAAAAAATTGTTTGCGATATCCGATTACGAAAAAGATTTTTTTGAATCATCTGTTCCACATGCTCATTAACACAATCCACAAACTTATTTATTGGTGTCCTTTTGCAGGAAATGCGCCTTTAGTCATAGCACGTGGTGGCTTTTCAGGGCTATTTGCTGATTCCAGTACAGTTGCATACCAGCTGGCCGGAATGGTTAGTTTACCCAATGTGATCTACTGGTGCGATGTACAACTGACAAAAGATGGAGCTGGCATTTGCAGTCCTGATCTCACACTTGAGAATAATTCTAACATTGAATCTGTTTTCAAAAATAAGTATAATACCTACTCCGTTAATGGGGTATCTATGCAAGGATGGTTTTCTGTGGATTTCACCCTCAGTGACCTGGCAAATGTCATTTGTAAGTTTACATGTTTGATAGTCTTCTGTTGCAAATATGTTTTTGACCTTACATCCTTTTCTGCTGTGTGATTGTATTGGTGTACATATGGGGATGATGTGTAAGCATAATTCTTAATTGTTTGTGTAAAAACGAACATAATGGGACCTCACTCCAACTTTGTCCCATCGGAGATGAAGCTCACCCAATCCCTATCTGGAACCTATGATGGGTTCTCCAACACCACCGTACAAACACACCTTGTTTGGCCCCATCAAACTTTAGGAAAGACTACAAACATATCAAGTAGATGTCGGGGTGTGACTAAAGTTTTTAAAGGCAAATGCATAACTCGAGGCGTTTTACCGCTCATGAGGTAAGGTGTAAGCATTTCGAATTTTAAAATTTAATATTTAGTAAATAAATTAGATAGTTTAAAATAGCGAAAACAAATAAAAATTGAAGAGAAAGGTATAAATACTTATCTCCTTAAGACATCAAACATTTCACTGCAAAGAATGAAGCTTGCCTTCATTGAAAGTGAAATTGACATTCTTAGTTTTAGTGATTGAGCTTCTCACTTGAGCATTAACTCGTATTTTTTGTTCATTGTTCATTCACTTAATTTTTTTTCTATAGAATATGGTCACAAAAGGGTTTTTTTTTATTTTTTATTTTTGGCTTTTTGATGTTTAAACTATCTACTAGACTAAGTTTAACAAGAGTCTACGACAATCTCTTCATATGCGTACGCGTCATACACTTATGTGCAAAACGCATTCAAGGTGCACCTAAGGCGCATGCCTCAGATTGTGATGCGCAAGCCTTTAGGAAGTATAGCCTAAAGATCAAAGCCTTGATGCATTTTACCTTAGCCTCAAGGCACGGCAAGCATCAAGGCGAGTCTCAGTAAAGCCTTTGAAAACTTTGGGTGTAACAAATAGTTTACCTTGCAGACTTGTCCATGATACATACAACACACATATAGTTAAAAATAGATTTCTATATAGAGAGAATAGGAATGTGTATATATATTGTGGGAAGTAAATAGCAAGAAACTAATATTGCAATGACAATGACAACTTGATGAGCCAGAAGTCCACACCAGAACAGGCAGCAACTAACATGTAGTCTGTGTGGTGGGGCAATTCATTCTGAAACCAGTACTGCTCTGAACTTGTGATGGGTTTAATTCTCTACCCCCATACCTGTCCCTGCCCAGATTGCAGCCTCCCAAACCAGTCTCTTTAGGGGAGGGTTACCCCAATTTCTGGTTAATTGCCATCCTCAGATGTGAAGTTGTAGTAAATGGTAATCAAGGAGAGTTCAGCAAGCCTACTTCTTAAGTCTGGTGAATTTTGTTATCTGTTTTTAGGTTTGATGTTTTTCTCTGGCAACACCAACACTTCCTTTTTTGCTCTGGACAGTAACTCAGGGAATTTATTCTCGACCCGATAAATTAGATGGTAGTCTGTTCCCATTTCTTACTGTTCAAGATGTGGCAAAGCAATTGAACCCACCCGGATTATGGTTGAATATTCAGGTAAACCTTGAGTAGCAAGTGTTCTATTACATGAAATTGGTGTCTCCCTTCAATATATATATATATATATATTCTTTTTAAATTGTGTATGTTCCAGCATCACAACTGGCACTTGAACTGAACTTATTTTTGTTCTAATACTGCTGCAGCATGATGCATTCTTCAGCCAGCAAAACTTCAGCATGAGAAGCTTTGTACTTTCTGTATTTAAAAGTGCTATAGTTAATTATATCTCTTCTCCAGAGGTGGACTTCCTAAGGAGTATATTGTCTCGCAAACCAAGCACAACAAAACTCATCTTCCGGTTTCTGGGACAAGATGAAGTTGAGCCTTCTATTAACCAAACTTATGGTTTTCTATTAAGTAATTTGACATTTATCAGGACATTTGCTTCCGGAATTCTTGTTCCCAAGTCTTATATATGGCCTGTAGATAATCTATATTTACAGCCTCATACCTCAGTTGTTTTGGATGCTCATAAAGAAGGTCTAGAAGTTTTTGCATCAGATTTTGCAAATGACGTACCTTTTGCCTACAATTTCAGTTATAACCCTGTAGCTGAGTATCTATCTTTTATTGACAATGGAAACTTCTCTGTGGATGGTGTGCTTTCTAACTTCCCAATAACTCCATCAGCGGCCATAGGTATGTAGCTCATTCGTATCATTTTATCTGTCTCAGTCAATAGAATGTAAATCAGTGCTGATTGAGAAACTGTTTTTGTATACAAGTCTACATGTGTTAAATAATTCACATCGGCCAACCCCTTTATTTAAAGAGATAAAAATCAAATATTTATTTGAAGACATGTAGCTCAATTTGATTAGAAGAAATATTTATTTCCTTTTCCTATAGGTCCCATGTGCTAAAGTGGCTTATTTTAATTAGCCTGCTTATTATCATTGAAACTGCATCATTTTGACACGTGATTCAGCCATTTGTGTAACCGTGAATTGAAACTATTAGACACCTGGTAATATTTTACTTGCCAATGAGTAGTTGTTCCTTGGGTGCATGCTGGATTTCATTTGTCAAAGTTTCTTTATGAAAGTTTTTGACCATTTCTACATAAATACTTAAATTTACTATAGATTCATACTAATTGCTTAATCTCATAATCATTTCTTCAGATGTTAATTTTTCCTCTGTTTTCTATTATTGCAGCTTGTTTCTCTCACAGAGGCAGAAATGTGTTAGGACAAGGTATGCTACTATTATGTAGTGCTTCTTCCTTGCGACAGATTTTGTTCTTCCTGTTTTGCTTGTGGGTGGTATTAATGTCTGTGTAGTTTCTTTCTTGTGTATCTTTTGATGTACCATTATGAATTATTAGTTAAATAATTTGTTTTGCCCTTTCCATGGTTCAGAAAAGCCTTTGGTTATCTCATCAAAAGGATCGAGTGGGGACTACCCTGGTTGTACTGATTTGGCATATCAACATGCCATTTCAGATGGTGTAGATGTTCTTGACTGTCCTGTTCAAATGACGAAGGATGGGATACCGGTTTGCTTAGGCTCTATTAATCTTATAGATTACACAAAAGTTGCTCAATCAAGTTTTAGCAACCTTATGACAACTATTTCAGAACTTGGAGTAGTCAATGGGATATTTCCCTTCAGCCTCACATGGAGCCAGATTCAGAGTTTGACTCGTAAGTTGAAAGCTGCACATACTTTCTTGTTATTTTTGTGTTCTCCTTCCCTTCTTTCTGGAAAATTATTTAACATGAGCACAAGTGGTTGCCTATGTTTATTTATTGTGCATAATAATTATATGGTATATTTATAATTTATCTATGTTTTTTTCACTGCAGCGGCAATATCGAACCCATTTATAGCTTCCCGATTGTACCGGAATCCAAAATTCAAAAATGCTGGAAAATTTATGACGCTGTTTGAGTTTCTGGCCCTTGCAAATAATGCCAGTTCTGTTTCTGGTGTTCTGATCAGCATAGAGGTGAGTATATGTCATATCATAAAACGTTTCTCATATTTTTTTAAGAATATTTTTGGAATTCTGGTATTAACAAGTGTATAAATGTGTTACATGTGGAAAACACATTTTCTCTCTGCATTGGCTTGCACTAGTTAGCCTTATCCATATTTAGACGATCTGATTAAGGAGGAGAAGGAGGTGTTTACACCCAGTAAGCTGTAGGTTAAGGTGATAACAGATGACAAAACTTGTGTGTATTGATTAATCAAAAGAATTACAAAATATATAAACGAAACCCTAATAATCCCTAATAATCTAAAGTACTAAACTATCCTTAATGAATAATATAAACTACATAATTCACACCCCCCCTCAAACTGAGGATGCGAGCGCAGAAAGCATCGAAAGTTTGCCAAGAAGAAAACGAAAACGAGCAACAGTATGAGTCTTCGTAAAAAAATCGGCCAACTGAAGAGATGAGGGAACAAAAGGGAGAGTAATAGTGCCAGCCTGAAGATGCTGTCTGACAAAGTGACAATCTATTTCAACATGCTTTGTCCGCTCATGAAAGACTGAATTATGGGCAATCTGGACAGCACTCTGATTATCACAATACAACGGAGTCGGATCAGAAAGAGAGACACCCATATCAGAAAGAAGCCAGCGAAGCCAAACGATCTCGGAAGTAGCATAAACTATGGCACGATACTCAGCCTCAGCAGTGGAACGAGCAACAACAGATTGCTTCTTACTCTTCCAGGATATAAGGGAATCGCCAAGGAAAACACAAAGACCAGAAGTGGATTTGCGATCAGAGATGTCACCTGCCCAATCAGCGTCAGCATAGGCACGGAGAGTCAAGTCCGAAGAGGCAGATAACAGCAAACATTGCAACAAAGTGCCACGAAGGTAGCGCAAAGTACGAAGTAAGGCAGCCCAGTGTGTGGAACGAGGAGCAAAAATAAACTGACTGAGAATGTGCACAGCATAGGAGATATCCGGACGAGTAACGGTGAGATAAACAAGGCACCCAACCAACTCGCGATACAAAGTGGGATCCTCAAGAGGAACGCCATCAGAAGCAGAAAACTTAGCATGCAACTCAAGAGGAGTGTCAACAATTTTCTCATCAGTGAGATTGGCACGAGAAAGAATATCACGGGCATATTTAGTCTGAGAGAGAAGATAACCAGTAGGAGAAGTAGCAACCTCAATACCAAGAAAATACCGAAGAAATCCCAAATCCTTCATCTCGAACTCCTGAAACAACTGATGTGTGAATTTATCATTGATACTATAATCAGAGCCAGTGATGATCATATCATCCACATATAAGAGAAGGAGAATAAGCCCAACAGAAGTGCGTCGAACAAAGAGAGCGCAATCATGATGACTAGGGCGAAAACCAAGCTGAAGGGCAACAGAGTGAAATCGCTCATACCAAGCACGAGGAGACTGCTTGAGACCATATAGAGCACGGCGAAGACGACAAACAACACCAGGAGGGTGAGAGAGACCCGGTGGAGGGCGCATATACACTTCTTCAGCAAGATGCCCATTCAGAAAAGCATTTTTGACATCTAGTTGAAACAAGGGCCAATGATGGGCAGCAGCAACAGAGATAAGAGTACGAACAGTAGTCATCTTGGCAACGGGGGCAAAAGTCTCATCGTAATCAATCCCATACTCCTGAGAAAAGCCTTGGGCAACTAGACGAGCTTTGTACCGTTCCAAAGACCCATCAGAAAGGGCTTTGACCTTATAGACCCATTTACAGCCTACAACATTCTTGTCAGCAGGTAATGGAACCAAATCCCAAGTCTGAGTGTTAGCCAAAGCAGTTAACTCATCATTCATGGCAGCAATCCAATTGGGATCATGACAAGCTTCCTTGTAAGACCTGGGCTCAAAATATGTATGAAGACAAGAAAGAAAAGACTGATAGGAAAGGGAAAAACATGTATTACCAAAACCATACCAGTTCGGAGGATGACGATCTCGCTTTGGGAAGCGATGTGCAGAAGGAGCGGGATCCAAAGAAACAGCTGGAGGGACAGTAGAGCTAGAGACAGGTGAGCTCGGAAGTGCTTTGCGGCGTTGATAAACAATAAGAGGAGCAGGAGAAGCGGGAGCAGGAGAAGCGGGAGCAGGAGAAGCGGGAGCAGGAGAAGCGGGAGCAGGAGAAGCGGGAGCAGGAGAAGCGGGAGCAGGAGAAGCGGGAGCAGGAGAAGCGGGAGCAGGAGAAGCGGGAGCAGGAGAAGCGGGAGCAGGAGAAGCGGGAGCAGGAGAAGCGGGAGCAGGAGAAGCGGGAGCAGGAGAAGCGGGAGCAGGAGAAGCGGGAGCAGGAGAAGCGGGAGCAGGAGAAGCGGGAGCAGGAGAAGCGGGAGCAGGAGAAGCGGGAGCAGGAGAAGCGGGAGCAGGAGAAGCGGGAGCAGGAGAAGCGGGAGCAGGAGAAGCGGGAGCAGGAGAAGCGGGAGCAGGAGAAGCGGGAGCAGGAGAAGCGGGAGCAGGAGAAGCGGGAGCAGGAGAAGCGGGAGCAGGAGAAGCGGGAGCAGGAGAAGCGGGAGCAGGAGAAGCGGGAGCAGGAGAAGCGGGAGCAGGAGAAGCGGGAGCAGGAGAAGCGGGAGCAGGAGAAGCGGGAGCAGGAGAAGCGGGAATCAAAGATCCACGAAGTATGGATATTACCTGAAGAGGATGAACCAGACAAACCGAACTGAGTGGTAGTCATAGCGGAGGCTTGGGACGAAAGATTTGGATTGGCCACCATGAAAGACTTGAACTGCTCAAACATAGACTGCATATTGGAAGATGGATCATTCTCAGAAACTGGTGCAGAAAAGGCGGCAGATGAGCGAGATCCTGAAAATGTCGGCTTAGCGAATGGTGAACCAGATGAACGACCCTTGGGCTGCAAAAGTTTAGGACATGCATGTTTCCAATGGCCTTTTTGATGACAGAAGCTGCACTCATCCATGGAAACCCGAGGCTTGGGCTTACCAGTAACTTGAAATAAATGAGAAGATCAGCGAGATACCCAACCTAGGTCTCCGAATGAACCAGGGACCAGCGATGGAAGCTTCCTAGGGCTTCGATGACGACCTTGCGAAGAAAGAGACAGAGCTGCGATGGCCTTGCGATAGAAGGAGAGAGAGCTGCGATGTGCGATGAGAGACAGAGCTGCGATGGTCGATGATGACCTGCGAGGTATGCTACTGTTTGTAACCTTGCTCTGATACCATGATAACAGATGACAAAACTTGTGTGTATTGATTAATCAAAAGAATTACAAAATATATAAACGAAACCCTAATAATCCCTAATAATCTAAAGTACTAAACTATCCTTAATGAATAATATAAACTACATAATTCACAAAGGGACCTATATATGGGCATGGCTTGAGATGAAACTCGTGGCCAATATAAAGAAAAAAAACAAGTAACATGCCCACAAGGAATTCCCATAAACAAATTACTCTAAAATAGGAAACCTATTTTAGTTGGAATTTGATACACTTTCAACAAAGACACTCCCCTGCTTTACTTGTCTGGCTCCATCTTCCTCATTCCATGTATCTTGGGGGGTGATTGGGAATCTCCCAATTGATGGATGTACATCAATATTTAAAGCCTAACTTAGAACCGTCTCATGAAAAAATTCAACCTAAAAAAAAAAATCCTTATTGTGAAGATGGTTGTTCATGCTCTCAACTTTCCTCTCTCTCTCTCTCTCTGTCTCACATAGGATGCAGCATTCCTAGCAGCAAATCAGAGTTTAAGTGTAACTGATGCAGTTCTTGATGTCTTAAGAAATGTTAGTCAAAATAATCAGACAGGCAAGAAAATTATGATTCAGTCAACCGACAGCTCGGTGTTGATCAAGTTCAAGGAGGAGAAAAGCAATTATGAGCTCGTTTACGTTGTCAATGAAGATATCCGTGATGCTGATAATTCAACTGTTGCAGAGATCACGAAGTTTGCTAATTCCGTGGTTGTCAGCAAGAGTTCCGTCTTTCCTGACAGTGACGCATATCTTACTGGTATGACAGATGTTGTACAGAAACTACATGCATTCAAGCTCCCAGTGTTTGTAAAACTCTTCAGAAATGAGTTTATATCTCAAGCTTGGGACTTCTGCTCAGATGCAATTGTGGAGATCAACTCATATGTCATGGGTGCTGAAATTGATGGTGTCATCACAGAATTTCCTGGAACCGCTGCTAAATACAAGAGTAAGTGCATAAATTTTTTCTCATCATACGGTGGGAGTCCCTTTATTGTTCTGTGAAAAATGTTTTTGAGTTGATCGTCCCAACCGATTTCAGCAAGCCATGACATTTCCTTATCCTGGACTGTGAAGTGTTTATGATTATTTATTATCAAACTTTCTAGGAATGTAACATAAAATGACCGCATGTCATACAATGAGTTGAGCCTTTCATTTCTGAATGAAATCTTGCTAAATAAATATGATCTAGATGCTAAGCAACATGGACACAGACATGGGACAACGATTTTGACAAAATTAGGATACGGACATGGAGGGAATAGGGCAAAAGAAAAAAAAAATGTATGTATATTTTATTTGCTATGTATATGAATATAAATTTAGGGCACTAGGATATAAGAGATATCAATATATATATGGGTGTATTTTTATTTTTTTGCCACTTTTCCCCCCCTTTGTTTCTATATATTTTACTTTGATCTCAAATCAACTTATTAAATTATGCAAGAAATAATGTATAGAGAAAGAGAGAGAATAAATTGTATGTATTATTATTGATTGATATATTGATATTTATTACAATGATTCATGATTCCTATATATAGAAGAGGGTGAGTGTGTAGTAGGTAAGAAGTAGGTGAAGTGGAGGTGGTAGTGGTGTAGTGGGTTAGGTTTAGTGGAGTAGGTGAGGTGGTAGTGGTGTAGTGGGTTAGGTTTAGTGGAGTAGGTTTAAGTGGGTGTAGTGGGTTAGGTTTAGTGGAGTAGGCTTAAGTGGGTGAAGTAGGTGATAAATTTTAACAAATTATCAAATTAAAAATAAAAATCCGAAACTTTGTTCTGAGATGTGTTCAAACATAGGTCATGCATGTTCTGTCCCCAATTTGTCTTGCGAAAAAGTAATAATTAAAAAAAATGACAAGCCACATGACGTGTACAACACTTGTGTATGTGATGTGTCAGTTTTCAACTTGTTTTACATGCACACGGACACATAACTCATTTTGATGTGTCCCGACCCCCGCGGTTTTAGTGAGACATTTTAGTCTTATGGACTGTTGAGCTTTTCGTATTTGTTCTATGTTAATGATTTTTGGTGCTTTGGTGGGTTGCAGAGAACCGACCCCCGCGGTTTTAGTGAGACATTTTAGTCTTATGGACTGTTTGTTGAGCTTTTCGTATTTGTTGTTAATGATTTTTGGTGCTTTGGTGGGTTGCAGAGAACCGATGCTTGGGATTGGGAAATAATACCCCGTATTACATGAGCCCTGTTCAGGCTGGTGGTCTCTTGCAACTCATCGCTGCTCCAGACTTGCCACCCGCTAAAGCTCCTAACCCTATCCTGACAGATTCCGATGTGGTTGAGCCACCTCTTCCCACTGTGGTGGCGAAAAGCCCAACTTCTGACATTGGCAATGTAACTATTTCACCAACTACAACCCCATCAAATGGGCAGCCTAAAGTTGTTGCATTCATCTTCTTGTCATATCCGGCTTCTCTCCTTGCTACTCTTGCCCTATTCTGAAAACATATCGCCCTACACATGCTTGATCACATGGGAGCTCTGCATGATCAAATGGGTAATTCTTTTTTTTGTTTCCTAAACTGCATCAATCTTTTTGTTTATCATTTTTCATTTTTCATTTTGTAGGTGCAGGTGTTCATTCCTCCCCATGCATATCCCTGAGCACGTGTCATGATGGATTCTTCAACCACCAAGCATTGTTAGCTGTTCATTCATGTAGTTTAGTTAATGATTGTTCTTTGGTGTGTATTATGATCGACACATAATAAACTGTGTTTGGTAAACTGAGCAACCAGTCTCTCTGTTTACAGCAAGTGCTTGAACCCGACCGCTGAAATTTGTAAATTATTGTATTTATATGCTTAAAAAATTTATTTATTCCCCACCAAATAGTATGATAGGCACAAATTTCCATTATACAGAGATGATGAATGGCTACCAAAGAGCAACAATCTTGAGAGAACAACAGGCAAACCGTCTAAACAATCGTCTCCATAAAAAATTCATGTTTAGGTTAACCATTCTTATCCAGCACATCCACACAACAGGTCATACTGAGAATCTTCTTCTTCTTCTTCTTCTTCGTATGTGTACACCATAATGGGTGTGTTTGCAAATTTATTGTGGATTGAAATTGGCCATTATAGATTGAGTAGGTTATTACAAAAAAGCACGTGGTTCAATTCTTAATTGCAGAAGAATAATTTGAATTTTTTAGGCCTTTACATATATAATAGGATAGATAGATATGAATGTGTTTCAAAATTATTTAACTTTGATTTGTTTACGTAATACCATAGTTTTGATGAGTTTTTGACGGCTGGAAAAACTCTTGTACTATGTTTGGAACTAATCCTTTTATAAATGGGATTTCAAATGGGGAAGGAAATAATGAATTTTGAAGGTGTTTTTTTTTTTTTTTTAAACCAAAAAATTATCAAACAAGTTTTTATGACAATTTTTTAAATTTATGCAGATATAAATTGAAAACTGAAACGAAATAGTTACCAAACATGATTGATGATATCCCTTTAGGAGGGAGAGTATTATTTATTTTTAAAATAAAAAATAATTTGATGAAAATAAACACTAAAAATATAATTTCAGAACAAAAATATTTGCGTTTCAAAAAAGAGAAAATTATGTAAAATAAAAAAATATTTTTATTTTTATTTTTTCCACTGAAATAAATTTTAATTTTAAAAACAAGAAAACAAAGAACAAAATTTTAAAATTCAACTAAACAGACGAAAAAAATGGTAAAAAATAAATAAAAATTTGTGGAGGTATGGATTGCATCAGCATGCGTAATTAAGATATCATCATATAGGGGAGAACGTGAATCCATCTGTCTTCGTTCGTTAGAAGACATGAGGTTTGGGTTTGGAAAGTCCAACACAACACGGTAACACGTTTTACATATATATATATATATATATGAGTAAGTTACACTGATACCCTAATATTTATGTTTATTACAGTTCTTCTTCTCACCTTTTGAAAATTATATCTCCCTCTCTAAGGTTTAAAGTTTCATTACAGATTCCTTCCCTCAGCAATTTAATTTTTTTAAATACTAATTTTGCCTTCACTAGGTGAATTATATTGACACCCCTCACATTTTAGAAATTACAATCTCATTCTTAAGGTTTAAAGTAGCATTATTAATTGCCCCTTTGGTTAGTATTAGTTGAAAAAAAAAATACATTGAAAAAAAATTTATTTGAAAAAAAAAATTGTTAGTAAAATTTTTAAATTTCTGTTTAAAAACCAACCTAAGCTCATTTTTTAAATTTACGTTTTTTTTCTCAAATTTACAAATTGAGACAACCATTTATAAACCAAAAAATTATCAAACAAGTTTTTATGACAATTTTTTAAATTTATGTAAATATAAATTGAAAACTGAAACGAAATAGTTATCAAATAGGTTTTAGATGATAAAAATATCGTAAAATTAATAAATAATTAAATAAGTTACCAACGTAAGAAATGACTTATCAAAAGATTCTAAGGCTATGTATGATTTAATTTTTAGAATTTTTTTTTAAAAATTTAAAATTAATTTGGTTAAGAAATAAAAAATAATTATCATTTTTATATAATTTTTATCTTTCGAGTGGCTAGAAATAATTTTTAACAAATTAAATTGAAACAGTCATACGTATATATATATATAATATACCCAAAAGTAAAAATGATAATTATTTTTTACCCTTAAATGATAATTTTTTTTTATTTTTTATTTTTTAACCAAATTAATTTTAAATTTTTTTAAAAAATTTCTAAAAATCAAACCATACATAGCTTAAGAATATTTTGATAAGTCATTTCTTACAATGGTAACTTATTTGATTATTTGTTAATTTTACGATATTTTTACCGTCGGAGGCATATTTGGTAACTATTTCGTATTCAGTTTTCAATTTATATTTACAAAAATTTAAAATACTATCATAAAAACTTGTTTGATAATTTTTTAGTTTATAAATTGTTGTCTCAGTTTGTAAATTTGAGAAAAAAACGTAAATTCAAAAAATAAGTTTACATTGGTTTTTAAACAGAAGTTTAAAAATTTTACTAACAAAATTTTTTTTCAATTAAATTTTTTTTTCAATTAATTTTTTTCCCAACTAATGCTAACCGAGGGGACAATTGGTAATGTTATTTTAAACCTTAGGGAGGGGATTGTAATTTATAAAATGTGAGGAGTGTCAATGTAATTTACCTAATGAGGACAAAATTGGTATTTAAAAAAATTAAATTGTTAAGGAAAATCTGTAATGAAACTTTAAACCTCAGGGAGGGGGATGAAATTTTCAAAAGGTGAGGAGAGAACTGTAATAAATATAAACCTCAGGGGTAGGGGATGTTAGTGTAATTTACCCTATATATATATATATATATATATATTGTCCTACTAATCAATGCATAGTTATTTTTTTGGGATCAAGGTTTTTGCTGTGTCTTGTTTTGGAAACTTTACTTAGATTTATTTTGATAATTTGGATTATTCGTATTATATGATTAGTTGAGTATATTATTCATAAAAAAAATTAAATCAATCAAATATTTGTAGTCTCATGATTAGGATTTAATTATTTAAAAAAATTATTAAAATTGTGTTAACCGTTTATTTTTTTAAAAAATAAATATGTTCTTATTATGAGGCTAAAGATATTTTATCAATTTGATTTTTGACATAGATGATCTACTTGATGAATTTTATAATATAAACGGTTCATATTATTAAAAAAAAAAAACTGAAAAAAGTCTCCAAATTGCACCTCATAGCATCTGCCACAACAGGATCCCCATTCCATTTTTTGTTTTTGTTTTTCGAGCAAGTTGTTTAACATTAATCGGATAAACTTGAGTTTGGAGGTTGGAAGCATAAGCTTTTTTTTGAGCAAGTTGTTTAACATTAATGGGATAAACTTGAGCTTGGAGATTGGAAATTTTGAGCAAGTTGTTTAACATTGCCGGTCTCCTCTCAATCCCTGATTTGACTCTCTTTGATTATCATCCAACTGTTGTTTTTGCGTCATGCTTTTGTAGTGGCGACGTAATCTTCATTCACCCCAACCTCAGACGTTATTTGGTGGGGTGGCACGGCCGCATGGTACCTCAAGTGTGTTGTAATTAGTGACAAATATATGATCTATGATTTTATAATGGGTGATTAGAGATATGATGATTTGTAATTAGTCAGAGATATAGTCACGTGGTACTCTTAGATCACGAAATGATTTTTCTAACCTGAAACTTCTATTTACACTCTAAGAACAACTCTTTATATTCTTAAATTTTTATTATAATTTTATCCTTAATTAACATTATCGAAAATTATTCAAATCCTAATTTCTCTTTTCACTCAATTAATAAATATAATCATAATTTCTTTTTGTACTCACCCCATTCTCGTTGCCCATTTCGTGAGCACTCTCAAACCTCTTTTCTCTCCTGGTTGCCGCCCGCCTCAGCCACAAGGGTTGGAGTGGGGTCGCAAGGGGTGGGAGGTTCTGAGGGTGGTGATCAGTGGTTGTGCGGCTAGGAGTATAGAGGACGACGAAGGAAAACGAGAATGAAAGGTTAAGGGTATTGTTATGTGGGGGATTACTTGTATGGTAAAAATATTTTGAATGAATTGAAAATATGATTGTCTTGAAGTTGAGGAATGAGAGAATATGTTATGTTTAAAAATTATTGACGTTTCACTTCAAATAAGGTCAAGTTTGACATATATCAGAAAAGTCAAAAAGTTACTCAAAAAGTTAAAAAGTTAACACTATTTACCAAAAATCAACAATTACGGCTGCACAAATCCCAATACTAATTTTTCCTCCCAATTCAAATTTTCCTCTACAAACCAATTTTTACAATCTTTTATTACACATTTTTCCATAAAAAGTCAAAAAGTTAACCCAAACATTCATATTTTCTTTCTCAATTTTTTAGTTCAAAAAGACAAAAAGTGTACTTATTTAGGACACCCCAAACAACCCCTAAATTGCAACAAATATGCTTAACAATTTTTTAAAATTTAAAATTTATTATTTTTATTGTATAAATTTTAAGCAAAAATTACAACAAATGGTGTGACAAAAATTTAAAAAACTCCAAACATGTATCAACAAAGTGGCCCACTAGTATGGCAAAAGTGTAATTAACTTTGATTCAACAATTTAACATTATTTAATCTAATTTAATCGTTCCAAATCAAATTTCAATTAAACTTACCACAAAATCACATAAATTCTAATTAACACATATTTTGACTTTTTTGACTTTTTTTGTGAGAGAAGAGTGTAATGATTATGGGTTAGATGTGATGTTTTGTTTGTTATGGCTAAAATAACCTATTTTATTTTTTGTGGCTAAAATAGCCAAAAAAGCCCAACCAACTTCTTCCCAAATGGTGCCTACATGAGCCAACGGCATTTGTTTCAATTTTTATTTTAATTTTTTGAAAAATACCATTATAACTTTATTTTTTACCTTATTTTTTCACTTTTAGATACAAGTGAATGGATTTTATATGCATTATTGCTGTGTGCCGCATTAGTTTTTGTTTTGAAGTGAGAAATGAGGTTTCAAACGAAAAATGAGATTATGTATAACATCACTCTTTTTTTTCTTTTTTTCTTTTTTCTGTTTTCTTTTTCATGAGTCCCATGATGCAAGGTTTATGAATATAATAACCCTAATTTGGTAATGATTTTGATGTTTTTGCTAATTTACCCCTTCAAAGATATTTAGGTCTTGGGAGGGTTAATTGTTGAAATTTGATGGAAAACAAAGGGAAAATTCTTTTGAACACTAGTGTGATGACTTTGTGGTGATATTGATTAGTTTTGGGAACAAAGGTCAAGTGACCAAATTTGAACAAGAGAGACAAACAACCCCACTAGAGTATCTTTTCTCTTCTTCTCTTGAAAACTAAGAGTGTATTCATGAGTCTACCTTTAAATAATCCAAGCTCAACTCAAAAAGTTTTAACATTTGAACAAAATATATGGGTTAATTATATTCAGCACAATATATATATATATATATATATATATAGATTAATTATATTTAGCACTCATACATTTTATGAAATATTTTTATTTGTTAGACACAAATGAATGAATTATGTATATTTATTGATGTTGGGCTTACTTCCTTTGATTTTAGTGAATAAAAGATGCAAATATGTGTAATATTACTCAATTATTAATCATTGTATAATGTCTGAAGTATGGTCCAACAAATCACAGACTAGGCTTCTTTTGGGAACATTAGTTAAAAGGCAAAAGCTAACTTTTAACCTTTTTTTAGTCACATCACCTCTCACATAAAATAATTAAAAAAAAAAAAAAAATTAACTTTTAACCATCTCTTCAAAACGCCATTAATTTTATAGACACTATATATGTAGTTGCAAGGAAATTGGCATGGTAGTACAGAAGGACATTGGCATGGCGGAAAAATTTTCAAATTCTTAAAAATGAAGTTTAATTCTAAGGAGCTGTTATTCATATTTTACTTTACTTTAAATACATTTAATTTTTTATTTTTATTACTAATTATGAGTTCAATGTTTAAAAAATGAAGTTTAATCCTGATTTTGTAATACGAGTTCAATATTAATCTAATTATGAGTTCAATGTTTAAAAAATGAAATCGTATTGTCTTGCTAATCTATACGAGTTCAATGTTTAAAAAATTAGGATTATTTGTAATAGTCTTGCTATAGTTATCTAATGGTTTGTATTTAAAATTAAAACAAAGTTACATTATTTTAGGTGTATAATTTTAATATCATTTTATTTTTTTATCAATAATTTGCTAGTTGTACGAATAAAAAAAATAATATTATCATTTATTTTTTTAAGTGAAATGCACATTTGTTTTTATTTATTTCAGTATAAAATCTACCATCGACATTAGTTTTGGTCATTTAAATCTTATTAAAAGAAAAATTAATATAGTAATGTAAAAAGTATGAAACTAATTGTAATTTTTTAAAAGTTTTAAGAGAAATAGGTGTAATTAATCTTAAAATTAAGAAAAAGTAACAAATGAGTTCTAGTTTAAAAAAAATTACATTTCAGTGATAAACTTTATAAATTTAATTTATAAATGTAATTATTTTGAGAAATTTTTTTCTTATTTGTAATTTTTCCTAAAATTAAAAGCAAAGGTGCCATAGGGTGGGATTGAAGGGTGTACTTGAGGCATCATCATAACGTTGCGATGACGTCACACGTTGCTACCCAAAATTTAAACAGCCACAAGTACCTTCCTTGATCTCAAGGGAAACTGCCTCATGTGGGTCCCTACAATGGCCGCCAGCAATTTCCCCTTTGACCCTCCAATCAACAAACAAACACCTCTCTCTCTCTCTCTCTCTCTGTGTGTCTCTCTATAAATACCAATTGAAATTTTGGTTTGGTTCTCACATTTGCAAAATACAGATTATAGAAAGACTTACACACATACAACATAAAGCATTATCAAAATCCCAAGAAGCAAAAAAGATACATACTAGTATGTCAAATGTTGTGGAAGAACCTCGTCTGGTGGTTAGAAAGTTTCTAGCCAGGCCTCAACATGAAGGTGTTGGTGCCATTGTTAGACGCAGCATTGGAAGGTAATATAATTCTGTTTGGTTTAATTTTTACAATCTGTTTTTATTTACCCTTCTGTTCCAAAATATTAATTTTCTTTTTTCGAGAATTTGACTTTTTTTTTATAGTACAATTATTGATAAGGTTGTAATTTTTAGAACAGACAAAAATTACACCAAACTAATTTAGAAATGATATGAAAGTTTAATTTTTTTTAACAAAATAGATTTAAAAATTAAACTAAACTAAACATGATTTTAAATTGTAGTATTGGGAGACCATCTATTTCAGTCGTGGTGTAACAGCGTTGGAGTATTGGATTGTGAATCGATTATGAACCGCTAATATATTTGGAATTGAGTGTTTGAATTATGTTTCATTGAATGTTTGAAGCTGTTTGGCTAAATGGGTTTTTGTGTTTGTTCAGGTTTGAATTGAAGTACTTTGATCCTTTTCTTGTTCTAGATGAATTCTCAGGTGAGTTTGGTCTCTCTGTTTTGCTCTGCTTCACTCTGTTTCTTTATGATAAACGCATACATTTGTTCAATGTCTGAATTCTGATATTTTTTTGATTTTTTTAACAATGTTGCAGTTTCTTCACCTGCTGGATTTCCTGATCATCCACACAGAGGTTTGAATTTGATTATTGAACTCTTATTTGTTTTTCTTTTTTCTTTTTTTGTTTCTGTTTTTAGTTGAGAAAAGATTGCTGATGCTCTGTTTTTCATATTTTACAGGATTTGAAACAGTCACATACATGTTGCAGGTACATATGTACTACCAATTATTATTATTTTTTTCTAATAATTTTTAAAAAATTATGACTGGATCGAATTCTATGATCAATTTTTGTGTTTTATACTTTTCTTTCTTTTTTTCAAGCTAATGAAACTTCTCTCATAGTGCTCTGCTTTTATGGAACCTAACATAAATTAGGATAGAAGTTAGGAAGAAACTCAACTTCATACTAATGAGAGCATGGTGCATTGGGTCATCACTTTTTAAGATAGACCCATTTTTTTAAAAATTTCATTTCTTGTCATTTCATTTCTACTATTTTTATACGAAGAGGTTGTGACATCATTTTTTTTCTTTTTACAAATTAAATTATATTTTGTTCTATAACCACAAAAAGATAATTTATTATTATTATTTATGGGTAATTATTATTATTTGTTTATTTTTATTTTTAGTGATTTTTTTTCCCCTCCACTTTTGAGTTGTTAATATTTTTTTTTAGAACTTTTTGGACTTATTTAAACTAGACAATCTTAAATATTGAAAATGGTTTGAATTTGCTTTTGACTCATTTAGTAGGCTTATTTTAAATTTAAAGAAAAAAATTTGTTTTTAATATTTAGGATTGTCAAGTCTAGACAAGCCAAAAAAATGAAGAAAAAAGATAACTCAAAGTTTGGAAAAGTTCATGACTTTTGTTAACATGTGTATTTAGAAAACATATTAAAAAGACTTAAAATGATTACATTTTTTTTATTATATGTACTTTCTTCTTAATAAGCGATAACAAAATCTAATAAAAAATAAGTTAAAAGAAATGCACATTCTAACAAAACTTAATAAAAATAAATTTCAAAAAATACATATTAATAAAATCTAATAAAAATTAGTTTAACTTATAGACTGCCAACAAACTATAAAATTAATCAGTTTGATGTGTGTGTAACTCAAAAGGGTGCATAACTTTTATCTTATTATTGTTTATTAGTTAGGAAAAAGAAATAATATATGAGAAGTAGTAGGGGACTATCGCCGTACTTGAAAAGTTGATTATTTTAGTTAGTTATTTAGTATTTTGATTATTTTAATCTGATAGTTAATTTGATGGTTGTGATAGAAAAAGTAAAATAATTATGGATTAGATGTGATATTTTGCCTTCTTAATTATTTTAATATATTTTATTTTTTAGTGGATTTTAAGGCTCAAATATATAATATATTATAAGATACCATCAAATTTGGTACATTTTTTAATTATTTTATTTTAATATATTTTATCTTTTAATCTCTTAAGGCTCAAATATATAATATATTATAAGATACCATCAAATTTGGTTTTTTTTTTTTTATAATTATTTTGCTTTCTGCTCTCGCAAAATAGACGGCGACATGGATAACTAGTATGATAAACTATTTTTGAATTTTGTTTTCAAGAAAGCATTTTTAATGAAGCACTTTTAGGTTGTTTTTTCAATTTTAAAAATTATTTTTGTACAAAAATAAATATGATTTGAAAATAATTAGTGTTTTTGAATTTTTCATTATTATTGTTTTTTAGATTATGAAAATGAAAACATAAAAACGGGAAGTACCAAACAAGTTCTCCACTGTCTGATGCCCTCTTAAGCACATTCACATGGGGCACTCACATTTTTTCTCTCTCTTACCTATCAATCAATCACTTTTTCTCTCTCTTCTTTCTTTCTCAATCATTTTTTCTCTCACACACATCTACTTAATTATAATAAAATATCAAATCATTTCAAACTCTCAAACTCCAAAACTACTTTCAAAATATATAACCAAACAAATCAAAAAAATTTCTAAACTTTCTCCCCAAACATGAATCTCTCTAGTTGGGCATCCAATAGGAGAGGCGTTGTTAGGTTTAGTGGACTCATTTAAGTGATCTAATTATTAATTTTATAGGGTTCTTTGAAAAGATTATTTATTGAAAAAATTAAATTAATCGGATATTAATAGTTATATTATCGGATCATATCTATCTATTTTTTTTTAAAAATGAACAAGAACTATAATTTTGAAAATAGACTGGTTAATTTTTTTAACACAAATATGATATGATCATGTTATTATTGATATCCAATTATCTTTATAGTTTGCATGAATATATTTAATGGATCTTAAAAAGTGAATGGCTCATATCACCGAGGGGACCTTGAATGCTCACCTACTGAAGACAATCCAAATCTGATTTTTTTGATCTGAAAGTTTTGTTGACTTTGTTAGATCAATTGTATTGTAGTTATTGACATAATCTTCACTCACCCAATTAAATTGAAACTGGAAAGAAGTTTTATATTGTTTGGAATATATATATGTATATAGGGAGCTATGACACACGAAGATTTTGAGGGGCACAAGGGGACAATAGGAGTTGGAGATTTGCAATGGATGACTGCTGGAAGAGGAATAGTTCACTCCGAGATGCCTGCATCCCAAGGTACTCAAAAGGGCTTGCAGTTGTGGATCAATCTCTCCTCCAAACATAAAATGTAAGTCTGTTTATATATATATATATATACACTAACGACGGCACACGCGATACAAGTACAATTCAGATAATTAATAATAAAAAATTTAATATCATAATATGTATGTTACTTAAGTGATAAGTCTATTCTTAATGAAACTCAAGGTCTTGAATTCAAAACTTGCTTACACTGTGTATACTAATTTTTTTTTTTATTTTGACATATATAAAGTTGCTATATGACATGAGGAGAATAATGTTTCACTAAACCAATATATGCGTTCATTTAATAATAATATATATATATATATATCCTAGTGCTTTCTCGTAATTAATAGGACTAATCACAAAAATTTATTATTAACCAAAATTAATAATCTTTAATAGTAAGTAGCAATCATTAGTAAGACTAACATCATGGTTGTTTTCCAAAAGTGTTTTACATTATTCTGTGTGCTTCCAACCCCCCAATATCTATGTGCCTTTTGTATTTGAATCCCACGTAAAAGAAAAAAGAGGCATTCCTTGATAATGATTGGTCTCTGGACCTTTTAATTCTGGTGTTACATTAGACTTTCTTAAAGAATTGTTGAATTTTTATATGGGAAATGGGGTTTGTCCAGTGGTTTTGAGATACAGTAATACTACGAATTTAGAAAATTTATTCAGAAAACTAGTATGTGGTTGAGATTTGTTTCAAGTGTGAGTCTTATTGTATAATAATTAAATTTAGACCATACATCATTTTTCGGAATAAAATTCTTGACAGATTTTCATATTCCTATCTTTTCTGTATACCTAATTTTAAAGGGTGTGCATAGTAATGTCTCTCTTTATATCCGATGAGATTAAACCTTTTTGTGTGCATCCATGAATCATAAGAGTCCTAAAAAATGTAAGAAAAAAAAATCCAAAAAAAAACTCACTTTTTATAGGATACCAAAAACTTGATTTCAAATTCCTGAAAACTATTTTTTGCACAAAAAATCAAACTTTCTATTATTTTTGTTTCCGAAAAACACAAAATGAAAACGAAGAAAATGAAACACAATCCATTAAGTTTGCATAGTCATTCAAACTCATTATCTATGTTGCTTAATCACAGGATTGAGCCAAGGTATCAAGAAATTTCAGGCAAGGACATCCCAGAAGCTACAAAAGATGGAGTTAAGGTCAGAGTAATAGCTGGTGAGTCCTTAGGAACCAAATCACCAGTATACACAAGAACACCCACTATGTACTTAGACTTCACTCTCAACCCAGGGTCCCATCTTCATCAACCAATACCCATTTCATGGAATGCATTTGTGTATGTTTTGGATGGTGAGGGCATTTTTGGCAACTCAAAATCATCGCTTGTAACGCCTCACCATCTTCTTCTCCTGGGCTCTGGGGATGGGCTTGAAGCTTGGAACAAGTCATCGAAGCCACTAAGGTTTGTGTTGGTTGGAGGTGAGCCGTTGGGTGAACCAGTGGTGCAGTTTGGGCCATTTGTGATGAACAGTCAACAAGAGATTGATCGGACAATTGAAGATTATGAGAATTATAGTAATGGGTTTGAGAAAGCGAGGCATTGGAGATCTGAAGCCATGATTGATCCTAAACTCTCAAACTAATATTAGTTGTACATTTTTTAACTTTTAATTTTTATTTTGGTAATTGTTTGATTTCAAGTGATGAATGGAAAATGAGTTGACAATGTATTGAAATGTATGTAACTCTCTTAAGTTAATGAATGATTAAAGATGAATTATGAAGCATTTTATTTGTGTGCCATTATTCATGAGAGAGTTCTCCCACCTAGGGTAGTTTTCCAGGTTAATTAGGTATTTTTAGCGTATCATGCTACTTCAATTGTGCTAATATTATATTTTAATACACAATAATGTTAAAATGTTATAATTCTGCTCAAACTGTGCATAATATGATTGTGTGTATTCGCAATTATCTTTAAATTTAATTATAATTAAAAAATAAAAATTCAATCATTAATATTTTCAGATTGAATACACATAAATTGTATTTTAAATTAAAATTATTTAAATAAAAAATAATTGTAAAACTCCACCAACCCAAAAATAATTAGAAAAGCAGTAGCCAAACTGGATTTGTATAGCCCTAAAAAAAATTAAATAGACGAATAAATACACTGAGCTTCTTTAAAATTTGGAATAAATATAAATAGTTCTATAATTTTGGCATACGCACATTAACTTCCCTTCTGATTTGATTTCGATGTTTTGATTGTGTCAACTTGATCCTCAAGACACAATTTAAATATTAGAGATCAAATTGATACAAGATTGGTATTTTAGTGATCAAAATATAATTAAAACAAAGAAGACAAAAAGTGGAGGATTGGGACATATATTGTAGGGGTGCAACTCAAGCATTCTAATCCCAACTCAAGTTGTATTGAATGCACAGACCCGCCCAAGCTCAAATTGTAACCCGAGGTTCAAGCTTGACCCGAATTAAGTCCGAATTGCACAAAAAATATTTTTTGGCATTTAATTTTTACCAATATACTCATCTTACTTCAAAAATCACAAACATGTGAAGCAACATGAATGAACAAATAAAAGTACCATGGAATTGAAAGAGCACCACTTGCAGATGTCCAGTTTTGGTTCACTGCTCATAGTAGGGGGAAAACAATAGCAAAAAGGTCAATTAAGGTTGTTATAATTGACATGAATGACTTTTTCTTGGTTTTATATGAATAAAATTACAGACTGAAACACTTACCTGGGTAGGAATTGGATACAAGATCCCATGTCCCATATGGAATGTCACTGTTCTTCCTGCTGTAATATGTTTAGCCAAAATGTAAGGTTGGAATCGGAAGTTTTCAAACTAAACTCATCAAAAACATGGTTCGGTATTTGAAGCAAGTGAAAGTAATTTTTGAACTACTTCCCACCATATTGTGAGAAAAACAAGCCCAATACACCTCGAAATGATTTAAAATTTAAATACAATTATCATCCATATGATAAACATCAGTCTGCCAAATACAACAAAAGCATGAGAATTGGGCCAGAAAGTGTTTGGAAGCTATGCACCACCACGAGGCGAAGGCAAATGATTAATCTACAACATAACGTTTTCCTTATCCTTCTTTGTTTTTGGTTCAAGGTACATTTGCACATCATAACTTTACTAGTGGTGGGTGCAAGCGTTTGCAATTTTATATTTAAATTTTTGGATAGTTTGATGATTGAGGAAAACTGATTAACAGTTTAGACGGGTTTGATAAAGGAGAAAAATCATCCTAACAGTTATTGGATGTGACAGTTACAGGATGAGAAGGGGTGATAATTACTAGGTGGGAAGGGTATTATTGGAAAAGTAAAAAACGTGACAGCTTTTACACTAGCTCAGGTGTATGTTTTTATAATAGTACAGATGAAGAGACGATCAAATATCAAATAGGAAAAATGTTTCAAAAAAAATCACATTCATTGACATTAGAGTGGTTCTTTTTCTATGTTGCAAGCATCACATGATGTTTAAGCTAAATTAGACAATTTGAGTAGTTTTATGAACTATGAAATAATGTAGAAAGTAATATTACTTAAAGAGTTAAGAGTGGATCTTTTAGGAACAAACCATAGATTTTAACATGCAACAGTTTTAGACGTGTTTCATTGACATAATGAACCTTTTGAGAGAGGAAGAGAGTAAAATTATGGTTAGGAAGTCGGTCAGTTTTGTAAATAAACAATTAACACTTTGAATAAGGCAGTTTCTCATCTAAAGCAGATGATTAGAGAGGGAACAGAACATATGGTATTACTAAACAAAACGAACGTGACAGTGATAAGGAACATTTATAGAGCATGAGAAGAAAATGCTAAAGGGGCATATTTATGTCGAGTGGAAACAGCACTAGAGAAAATAAAAAGAACAAAAGGCTTAAAAGGACATACTTAGTTGGAGAAAAAAAAAACACAAATGGAATTGACTTAAAGCAAATTTATGGAACACGAGACCTAAAAGCCTCTTTACACTTGCATCAAGCATTCCAGCATAAAGCATTCAGAGACAATATCAAAGCAGACAGTGATAGCTCAACATGAGATTAATTAAGCCAATTCAAAGAAAAAATGTACAGTGCGTGTAATCAAACATAAGATTTAAACATCCATCTACTGTGGGAGTCCTAAATCATATAGATACAATTATGGTTCGATTATTTTGTACATTTCAGAGACAGCATAGTGTGCGCATGGCTCATATGTCCATCTGCACAGAGGACACACAACAAGGAGGCTAATTCAAGGGCAATACTTCTACACATTAATGAGTGCAACAAGAACTATAACGATAATACATGAATATTTAGTAAATACCATTGTTGTCAAATTATGAATCGTTTTGCTAAAATAGTAAATCATGAATCGTAAGATTCACTTTACTTAGCATAATCTATAATTTTATGTATGTATACACATATAAAATACACTTACAATGTTTAAAATGAAATAAATATCAATACAATAAGTTGAGCTCTACCATTTCTTTTTTTTTTTGTTTTTTAACAAAAAATATGCTATTTCATATATTATGCAAACAGGCTGAATCGTTTGAATTATAGTGAATCATAGTAAATCGTGAGATTCACTCAAATTAAGATTCAAATCTTTGCAAATCTTCCAAGATTATTAATTTTGGTTAATAATTAATTTTTGTGATTAGTCCTATTAATTACGAGAAAGCATTCGGATATATGAACAGACTAACATTTTATGTTTGGAGGAGAGATTGATCCACAACTGCAAGCGCTTTTGAGTACCTTGGGATGCAGGCATCTCAGAGTGAACTATTCCTCTTCCAGCAGTCATCCATTGCAAATCTCCAACTCCTATTGTCCCCTTGCGCCCCACAAATTCTTCATGTGTCATAGCTCCCTATATACAATATATTCCAAACAATGTAAAACTTCTTTTCAGTTTCAATTTAATTGGGTGAGTGAAGATTATATGGTATTTTAAGAAGTTGGTAAAAAGTTAATTTTTAAAATTTTTGACTTTTTTGATAAAAAGCTGAGTTCTTTTAGGTAAAAAAAATGATTTTTTTAACTAAAAAAATTAAAAAATCCAAAAATTGACTTTTTTAACCTCTTCCCATAGTGCTCCTATGTCAACAACTATAATACAATTCATCTAACAAAGTCAACGAAACTTTCAGATCAAAAAAATCAGATTTGGATTGTCTCCGGTAGGTGAGGACTCAAGGTCTACCTCAATGATATAAACGGTTCACTTTCTAAAATTTAATAAACATATTTATACAAAATATAAACATATTTATACAAAATATAAAGATGGACGGCTCCCTTTTAAAGATCTGCAAAATATATTGGGAAAACTTTGAAAAGAAGCTAAAAAAGTCAACTTTTTAACTTTTTTAAGTCAAAGAAGTCAGATTTTTTGTCAAAAAAGTTAAAAAATTAAAAAGTTAATTTTTTACCAACTTCTCAAAACACCACATTATAAAGATGATTGGATATCAATAATAACATGATCATATCATATTTGTATTAAAAAATTGAACATTCTATTATTAAAATTATACTTTTTATTTATTTATTTAAAAGATAGATAGATATGATCTGATAATATAACTATCAATATCTAATCAATTTAATTTTTTTAATAAATAATCTTTCAAAAAACACCCTATAAAAGATCACTTAGATGAGTCCACTCAACGCCTCTCCTATTGGATGCCCAAAAAATATGAGGGCCCATGTGAATGTGCTTAACAGGGCATCAAACAATGGAGAACTTGGTACTTCTCGTATTTTATGTTTTCATTTTCATATTCTAGAAAACAACAATAATGAAAAATTTAAAAATACTCATTATTTTTGGATCATATTTATTTTTGTGCAAAAATAAATTTTAAAATTGAAAATGCAACCTAAAAGGGCTTCATTAAAAATGATTTCTTAAAAACAAAATTCGAAAATAGTTTATCATACAAGTTATCCATGTCGTTGTCTATTTTTGCGAGAGCAAAAAAAAAAAAAAAACAAATTTGATGGTATCTTATAATATATTATTGTTGGCTACATATTTTGTACAAGCCAATTACAATTCGACGCGTGGCAGAATAAGGATAATACAGGAAGACTATTCAAGTCTTCGATCCTGATCGTACACATGGCAGTTAGTATTAGTTATTACGAGATCTAAGCAGCAGCGAATCAACAAAGAGATGTAAGATGATGTGGCTTTAACAGTTAGTCACATTTAAATTCAAATTTATGAGGGAAGTTTAACTGCAAGTGATGGCATAGTGGGCTAGTTACAAGGCAACATGATCAGCGGTCATGGAGGAGCTGTTCGACGGTTGGAAACGCAGTTCGATGGTCATCCTCGAGAAATATAAATAGCAGAGAAGGCCCCAGAAAAAGCCCCCAGACTCAGATCCAAAAAATCAGCCTTATTATACTTATTTTTCTTTCTAGTTTTACATTTCCGGTCTTACATTTTCTGTACTTTAAATTCCTGCACTGCACTTCGTTCATAGGAGTAGTTTCAAGTAGATTGTTGCTGTAAATCTCTACGAGGCTGAGTTTGGATCATTGTAAGTTTTTTCATGTTAATGAAATACTTCAACTGTTCTTCATTTAATTATTATTTTGCTTAATTCTCCTAAATCAAGCCACCAGTAAAAGTCCTCTTCATTGAGGCTGAAAGAACTAAAACGCAATCGTCTGATAATTGGTTGGCAATTAATTTTCTATAGG